CGTCATCAAAGTAGTCGATAGTTTGAAAAAGATCTCAGACGAGATGCAGCAGATCACCACCGACCTGCAGCATTGCAATAAAGAGTTGCAATCTTTACAACAGAAAATTGATGAAATTTCTTCCGAAGAACACTACGTTCTTGAAGCCTTACAAGCTATTTCAAAAACCACCCAGGAAGCGCAAACCCGGGTCGCGCTTGAAGAGCTGTCAGTTAAGGTGCTTGATATAGAAAAGCGCATGAAACAAGAAGGTCTGGAAAACCTTTCAAAAACCGTGGAAGAACTTACCGGACTTAAAAAACTGCTGAGTAAAGAAGTGGAGTTACTCAGAAACTTATCCGCCCATGAAATACGGGAAAGCCGTACCTTAAGTGCTGAAGTGGTGGCCGACAATACAGAGATTAAAGCCCTGGCTCTGGAGTTTGAGGAAGAAATTCAAGTGTCACGCGTGGTTATTGATATCGCGTTAGTGGTGGTCATTATTTTAGTTGTGATAGCCATGTCTCTGTTAACTGTAGCGGTAGTTACGCCAGTGATTCAGGCTATGAAAGTGGCGCAAGACGTAGCGAAAGGCGACCTCTCTAAAGATATTCAAATTAATTCCAATGACGAAATAGGCAAATTGCTTATTGCTATGAAGGATATGCAATCGGAATTGCGTCAGGTAATTGATGGCGACGTGCAATCCCTGGTGTCAGCGGCGCAACAAGGCGACCTGAGCAACCAGATAAATATCACTGACAAGCAAGGGTGTTATAAAACCTTATGCAGCGGCATTAATGAACTGGTGAAAGTATCGGAGGCAGTCGTTGAAGATACCAGCCGGGTGATGCAGGCATTGTCTGAGGGCAATTTGAATGAAAAAATTACACGCGAATATCGCGGTGAATTTAATAAACTGAAAATCAGCGCCAATGATACTGTTGAGCAATTAAAACGGGTGATCGAAGGGGATATACAAACCCTGGTAGGGTATGCCGAGCAAGGCAACCTGAGCGAACGTATTGTGATCAATACTCAACAAGGCTGCTATCTGCAATTAAGTCAAAGCATTATTCTTTGGTGGACAATAGT